GTTTCGCCTACATCGTTCGTTTTGTGAGTCAAGTTCCCTGCTCAGAAAGAACGGAATTGCTCCCCCCATGCAGTCGGGACACCCCTCAACTCCCTGATGGTCTGACGGAAGAAATGACCCAGGGCTTTGGCTCCTCTGAGAATCAAGTTCCTAACAAGTAGCTCTCTGAGAAAAGTGCTTCCTTCTCAGCTGGAGGCGATTTTGCCCCCGCCCCAGGACATCCGGCAAAATCTGGAGGGGAGACCAGGGACACTGCCCAACACCCACAGCACACAGATGCCCCTCCACGGAGGGCAGCCGTCCAAAGTGGCACTGGTTTCCAGGGGGAGAAACCCTGATTTGGAAGAGCGGTGTTTTGCTGCATCAACCCGATTCAGTGAATACAGATCTTGTCCTCTTTGTCTGTAACCTGACAAGTTACACAAAGGAAAATAGTGACAGCCGTGTTGTGTCACAATAGGTTTCCACAGAGCACATGTTTTTGAACATGTTAGCTGAGGAATTTGAATATTACATTCCAACTGCATGTTACATGATGTGAAAAATAGACACTTCTGTGTCTCAGGTTCCTCTCTTTGTAAACAAAATAAGCTGTTTCTGTTGTTTTAAGCCAGATGGTTTGTGGTAAGTTGTCATGGCAGCCCCAGGACACTCACTCACACGGTGGTGGGACTGACAACTCCACGCCCCTAGTGGCCGTTGGACCTGTCAGGGTGCCAGTAGGCAGCAGCCAGTCACCACCTGTCAGCCCACCTGACCACTCGCAGGGCATCCTGTGCTGGAAGATGACTCCCCTCCCCCCATTGCTGGAACCACATGCCCTGGCCCCCTGCTCCCCCACCACTGGTTCATGCAGATGGAGCCTCGGCCCTGACATACCTTTACCTCGTTATTTTATTCTTTTTTATGGCTGAGTAGTATTCCATTGTATAAATATATCACATCTTCTTAATCCAGTCATCTGTCAGTGGACATTTAGGTTGCTTCTATGTCTTGACTATTGTCAATAGTGCTGCTATGAACATTGGGGTGCATGCGTCTTTTCGAGTTAGACTTTGCTCTGGATATATACCCAGGAGTAGGATTGCTGGATCACATGGTAAGTCTATTTTTAGTTTTTAAAGGAACCTCCATACTTTTTTTCACAGTTGCTGCACCAAACGAGAGTTCCATAAGCAGTGTAGGAGGGTTCCCTTTTCTCCATAGCCTCTCCAGCATTTATCATTTGTGGACTTTAAAATGATGGCCATTCTGACTGGTGTGAGGTGCTACTTCATTGTAGTTTTGATATGCATTTCTCTGACAATTAGCGATACTGATGTTTTTCCACATTCTTATTGAATGTCCCCGACAAGACTGGCGTTGTGCATCGTGCTAATCACTGGGAAACATGGGGAATGTGGTAGTCAGTTTCATGTGTCAGTTTGACTGGGGCAAGGTGCTCAGATATTTGGTATCAAACATTATTCTGGATGTTTCTGTGAAGGTGTATTTTAGATTAAATTAACATTTAAATCAGTGGACTTTTGAGCAAGGCGATTACCCACCCTAGTGTGGGTAGACCTGGTCTACTCAGCTGAAGGCCTGAAGAGAGCAAACATTCTGCCAACAGAACTGTTCCTGGGCCTCCAGCCCTTGGGCCTGCCCTGCAGATCTTGGTCTTGCACCTCCACAATTGTGTGAGCCCTGTTAACCCCAAAAAATACAACAGCCAGTGATTTTTACCAGCAAAATGGATTATTGAGGAACAACAAAGAATTGTAACTTGGGACAAGCCAGCTACAGCAAAGGTCACAGACAAGTTCAACAAACAAAGGAGGTAAACATCATTTTACAGAGAAAAAGGAGAAGGTTGGAGGGGTTGTTTGAACGAAAGTCCATTGGTGGAAAGTGGGAATTGGGGGTGACACGTTCTCATTGGCTGAGTAGCCTGGGTGGTTGATTTCTTGAAGGAGACACAATGAACATCTTTCCCTGTGAGGCCTCTAATGGAGGATTCTTTCATATTGATGATTCTGCATGTTGGGGTCTTTAATTGACAGTCCTCCCTGTCATAGACTGTGAGTGGCCCAGGGTGGTGGCACTTGGTGACCCTGTCTTTACCTTCAGTCTGTGTCTGGGTGGACAGCGTCAGAGTGCTCCCTGCTGGCCTCCCTACTCCATCTTAAACAAGGTTTCCCTTTATTAATTTTCACAGCTGTTTCCTTAAGATAAATCTCTCTCTCTACACACATACATCTGGTTGGTTTGGTTTCTGGCACAGGGAGCTATGGACAAAGAACACCGCCTGCGTATCAGTAAACAATGGATGTTGAGGCTTTCAAGTTATCAGCCCTTGCAGTGCCCCGAGGGTGCCCCTGAGGGGACTCAGGGTGGAGAGAACAGGACACTGGCCCCAGACAGCTAAGGTGCACATCAAAGGAAGGGTTTTAAAAAAAAAGAAGGGTTTCATTAAGCACACACACCTGCGTCTTCCCATACATAGAAAAGTGCTAAGTTCAGTAACTCGAGATGTCTGGTTTCTTTAATGAGCAGTAATCTTTTGATGTTTGACTACTTTTTTCTTTTGCTGAAACTCCTTTATATCCTGGCTCCTCCCTTACCTCTTCCGAGCAGTCCCTCAGAGCTACCTGAGAGCCCCCCCCCCTAAGCTTAAGGACTCAGTAATGCCCCCAGTAAAATGTAATTCTCAACTTACAGCTTGTGACTTTTCTCCAGTGGACAGAGCAAGGCAGACTTTATTCTGCTCTCAAACCACTAAAGTCTAGTTGGGGGGATTGATGCCAATTGGACAGTCGTGTGCAAACAGAAAAGATAGGACCCCTGCAAGTGTTGCAGGAGCCACCCTGTGACAGGAGATGCTCTCACCTGGAGCCCAACAGGTGAGGAGGGAAGCCGGGAGGGGCCGGGTAGGGAGTGTGCCCCAGGCAAGGGCGGGCCGCACAAGGTCAAGGGCAGGTTACAGACAGGGTCAGCGGAAAGGCCAGGGCGAGCCCCAGGGAGGAGGGTCACCAGGGGCTCACGGCGGGTGGGGAACACAGCAGGCCCTGCCCCCATTCAACGCCGTCCCGCCCCTCCCCAGTCCCCGCGCGCTTCCGCGTCCTGGTCCCGCCCCTCCCATCCCCT